GTCGGTCGGCTAAATTCGTTTTGATTACCATTTTTCTGTGCGTTGCAGAATGAGCCATCGATGCCCTCAAGGTTAGTGATGGTCTTTCCGCGGCGAAGCGAAAGTCCAATAATTACACTTTTCGTGCACTCAGAAAACTGCTCAAATTTGCCCCACCGTTGAAGGCGAAAGAGGACCAGAACTGCATCCCGTGGAGTGACTGAACTCCATCAGTGAACGAGAGGACTTGAAGCTGAATGGGTGCATCGCTGGTGAGGCTTTCAACTAACGAACAGCGAACGGTAATCTGTCGATGTACCGGACGCAAGCGCCAAACAAACGGACGGCAAGCCGTGGATGTACGGGACTAAATAGGCGAACGAAAGTACAACAAAATTCATTGAACGATATAATCACGACCCGTAAATGAAAGGGGTGAGAAGATATTCATGGTAGGCAGCCGATGCATCTCTGTGACGAACGTTTCGACCACTCACTTTCGACATTGGATTGATCCAGGTGGATCCAAACCATGCAAATAATTTGGGTATATTCTAAAATATATGAAAATGGCTGTTAATACTTCATCCTAAAAAAATCGTGCGCCAAGGTTTTTAGAAGCACCGTGCTGGCACCAGCTCTCAACTTGTAATTATTCCTTGTGTTCAGTTCAGTTTTTGGAAAAGTGTGAATTATTTCTGGGGTCTTAATACAACTACAAAATTGAGGACAGAGATTTTTCCTTCAAATGAAATTTGTTGTTCATAATCACATCAGTTCTTTCAACAAGGTCATGAACATTGTTGGAAAATTTGAGTAGCTTTTTAGCAATGTAGCGTAAAAAATTAGAAAAACCAGATTTTCTCAAAAATGTGTCCACGTTTTTTCTTCACACTTTTCCAACAGATAATGGTACTTGCACTGCTTAATATGACAAAGATAATTTTGCTGTAATTTTTTGTTTTTTTTAATTACACTCTTGTAATGTTTTTGAAATATCTCTTACGCTTTTATTGTAATGTTTATGGAATATCTCATCTTTCTCTCGCACATTTTCAGCGATTTGTAAACTATATAATTTGTGAGTCAAAGCGCTTTAAATAACTGCATGTAAAGTTTTTCAAAACTCAAACATTTTCTGTGAAAAAAACCTTAAAATTTCAAATTTACTGAAGTGGTTAACCGCTAAAGTTCCATATATTAGGAGCTTTTACTCTTCTTTAATAGTATTAAAATAATACTTTCATTCTACTATTAGGAAAACAAAAAAAATCGAAAAATGTTTAAAAAATGTACTTTCGGCGGCGATAGATGGCAGCTGGCAAGGGAATAAGACAAGTCGTAATAGCTAGCCGATACCAAAGGAAATAGAAACCGAATACGGAAAAGTTTGTGCCATTCTGTAGCACCACTAGTTGGGATTGAAAAGTTCTTGCATTTTTAATCAATGATAATACATAACTGTTTCAATTAATTAATTAATTGATACAGAATGCCTTGGAATAACGACAATCAAAGGAGTAATCAGTTTTTATTTCTTAATATACATTGGCATCGTATATATTGTCATTATATTAAGAAATAGTATTTAACATAGATGTAAGGTCCAAATAAAAATTTTTGACATTCACCTTCTTTCAAATTTTTTTTTATTTATTATTAAACACGACGTTTCGGAGGAATTTTTCCTCGTTGCTGAGAACAAAGTCAAAATTTTAGCCTTAAAGAAGAAAAGGAATTCTCGGTGTCATGGCCTGCTAGTGGTGCAAATATCCGTAGAGATTCAATATCAGATCATGAGTAAATAGTCATCTTTATTCTTTCCAATATGAACGACGGTGAATTCCCCGCGGCAGACGCGCACCAAATTTACCCTCTTCTAAATAAAATTTAGACATCGATCTTTTAGAATTGTTAGTGAGTGTTAGGATAAGTGCTCTGACTACCTAACTTGTAGGGAATCTGCTTCACTTATCCAGTTTGATGAAAGAAAAACCTATTTCTATGTTTTATATATA